ACCGAAGGTAATGGTGACCGACAACGGAGTCCGGTTCACCAGCCGGGCGTTCAAGAAATTCCTCGAGCAGATGGGGATCAGGCATCAATTTACGGCTCCATACACGCCACAGGAGAATCAAACGGAAATAACCAATAGGCCGGTAAAAACTTTGATCGCACAATTCACCGAAGGGGATCATAGGGGTTGGGATGAGAAGTGGCCCGAATTGATGTTGGCCGTGAATTCGGGAGTAGCGGACTCCACCGGGAACTCGCCGGCCTATGTGGTGCAGGGGAGAGAACCAAGACTCCCGAAACCGTTATATGATGAGGAAGCATTCGGAACAGTGCAGGAAACTCACACGCCTGAAGAAAAAGCGACCAAGCTTAAGGAGTTGTTCCAATTAGTGAGCGAAATCTACAGGGGGCAGCCTTTTCTTCTGAAAGAAAAAGAAATGGTGAACAGGTAACAAAAAATGAGGAAAGGAGAGATACGTGAACCTGAGCACTGGAATATCCAACGTCGACCCGGAGCTGTGAGGTGAGTCGTCGGTCGTGGTAAGTTGAGGAGAAACTGGGTGCAGAGAGGGATCCAGGTCCATGGCTCAAACATTGGGATCGAGGGAACCAGGAGCGTCGGGTTTGGCAAGGCGGGCGTCGCCCACGCGTGGTCTACCCGGCGATGAATCAGATGATCCTCGGGTCCGAGCCACTGCGTGGGGGAGACGACCCATTTGATCCACTTCAGAGGCGTAAGTGGTTTCACCGGGATAGCTAGTCATGAATCCGAATCCGGGCGAAGGGTCGGAGGACTCATTGATCGCGGGAGGATACATGTCTGGTGTCTAGAATGAAGAGCCGAGGGCGTGCTGGAAAGAAAGGCAGATAGTGAGAGGAACTCCAGGTTTGAACGAACTTAACATGGCCGGGGGCGATCCAAGCATCACAGAGGAGACACATACAGGCTGCAAGCAGACACGGGAAACGGGCACCTATAAAAAAAAAAAAGAAGAGGAGGTGAATCTATTGAGCATGGAAAATAAAAATAAAATTTATAATAAAATAACAATAATAACCTGTGTGGAAAAAAGGAACCCAAACCTGCATCCTACGGTTAAACCGCGGCGAACACGGATGAAGAGCGGTTCGACCACGAGAACCGTTAGAGAGAGCACGAGAACGAGGTGAAACAAACGTGAGAGCGCACTAGGAGAACCCGTAGGGGCTATGGCGCTAGGCACCGTTAAATGGAACGATCGGCACTACAACGCGGATATAAAGGCAAGTGAGGAGATTGAAACGGCCACACAACGAATGTGGGAAGCAGAAGGAAAGAGTAAAATGGACGCGGTTATGAAGCTTGTGAGCGAGCAAGGTAAAGTATTGTGGGAAGGGGGCTACGACGCCCACACCTTCGGTCAGCGACGGGCGGAAATGCTCTCGCGAGGAGACGAAGGGAGTCGGCGGAGTAGCTCACCGGAGCTGCATCTAATGGCGCACGCCGATCGTGTCCCCCGCAGGCAGCGACTCCGCAGATTTCGAGGTAGTGGCGTGGACCCAAGCGCCCACACGCAAGGAGCAGGCGAATTGGCGCGCGGCGGAATCCGAGGTGGAGGTCGAGATACTGAGGGGGTGGCGGAGCGGCGAGCGAAAAGCGAGCAGGAAAAACGGCTGGCCGCATGGCGACGCAAGACAGCGTTGGCAGCACAGAAGAAAGCCTCCGGATCCAGCATGTGCGGCAGGAGATCGCGGAATTGGCGCATCAAGGCCAAGCAGGAGGAGAGACAGCAGAGGCATGCGGCGGTCACCTCCGAGGAGAGCGCCAGTAAGTCGGAGGAGGAATCCGACGACGAGAGCGAAGAGGGCCCGCCGCCAACACCGTTTCGTCCCGCACAGAATCTCGAGGCCCAGCCAGGGTAGGAGGAGTGGCAACGCCGACTGTAGGAGGCGGAGGCAGACAAAGAGGCCATGTGGGAGCAGCCATAGCCGGAGCAACAACAATGGCGGGGGCCCGAGAGCGTGGTCAGGGAACCGTACGTATCACAAAGCGTGCGGACTGCGATACGCGACGGGATTCTGTGGCACCACCAGAAACTGCACATCACAGCCGGAGCCAGAGACAGGGGCACACGTGTGGGAAGAGGTCTCGCAGCGGAGCAACCCACGCGACCTTCGGAATAGGAGCGCGGGGCTGGCGCCGACGGCCGAAGAACATGGGAAGGAAGCGACGACGAGCGCGGAAGAAGTCATGGCGGCGGAGACGGTAGCGGCAGCCGAGGCGACGACGACGGCTGAAACCACGGCTCCAGGCGATTCGGAGGCCAAGGCAGCGGAGAGGCTAGCGGAGGCCGAAGGAGCAGCGATGTTGGCGCACAGAGCATCAAGTGTGGGCTACGCAAGAGCCAAGCACAAGGGCATGTACGTATACAGCTGCTACATAGCGCCACGCCACACGCAACAGGAGTAAGAGGCAGTCATCCGCGACATCGCCAACGATGCCCAAGACAGATCCCCGGTCCTAATAGCGGGTGAATTCAACCCATGGGCCACGACCTGGGGCAGTACCAGGAATACGACTCGAGGGACAGCGCTCCTGGACAAGTTCGCAAACGTCAATATTTGCCCAATAAACACAGGAAGCGCCCCGACGTATCGCAAGGCAGGCCGTGAGTCTATCATCGACCCAACGTTTGCAAGCCCGGAGATCGCACGCCATTTCAAGTGGCAAGTGCTGAGCGTGTACCCAAATAGCGACCACCTAGCAGTGCTGACGGACATCTCAGCCCCCAGGAACACCGCCAGGAGCCAAAGAGCATTACAGACAGGCTGCAAGGAAGGAACACTCGACACAGGCGCGCTCCTCTCTGCAGCAGAGAGCCTAACAGCCACTGGGGACGCCGAAGCATGTGCGAGCGCCATCTCCAGGACCGTCATAGTGGCCTATGATGCAGCTATGGAGGGAAGGAAGATCGGAGTTTGTGTGCAAGGGAGTGGCGTTCAAGACTACATGGAAAGCCCTAAGAGACGCCATTAGAAGCAGAAAGGTCGAATTCTTCCAGGAGCTCTGTGATGTGACAGATGGGAAAAATGGGAACAAAATTCGAGAGGCTGGTATGCAACCGACTCGAGGCTGAACTGACAGAGCGCCAGAACCTCTCCACTCACCAGTACGGATTCCGGAAGAAGAGGAGCACCATAGACGCCATTGTGATGGTCACCAGACTGGCCAAAGAAGAGAGTGCCCCACCCAGTTAAAGGAAATAGTCAACGCCCTCTTTTCTTGGCACCCACCACACGAATAAGAGGATTGCGAGGAAAACGTAGATGAGGCAGCCACCACCATCAATGTGAGAGAGGTGCTGAAAACAATCTAAAGAACGTCAAGGCAGCAGGCCCCAATGGAGTCGCCAATGCGGCCCTGAAATGGCTAGTTAGCACCCACTTGGAAACATTCACGAGAAAGTATAGCGGAAACGAGAGTACCACTAGCTTGGAAACGCCAGAGGACCTATGCGACCCATCGGCATACCGACCACTATGCATGCTAGATGGCATGGGAAAAAAATTCGAGAGGCTGGTATGCAACCGACTCGAGGCTGAACTGACAGAGCGCCAGAACCTCTCCACTCACCAGTACGGATTCCGGAAGAAGAGGAGCACCATAGACGCCATTGTGATGGTGACCAGACTGTCCAAAGAAGAGAGTGCCCCACCCAGTTAAAGGAAATAGTCGACGCCCTCTTTCCTTGGCACCCACCACACGAATAAGAGGATTACGAGGAAAACGTAGATGAGGCAACCACCACCATCAATGTGAGAGTGGTGCTGAAAACAATCTAAAGAACGTCAAGGCAGCAGGCCCCAATGGAGTCGCCAATGCGGCCCTGAAATGGCTAGTTAGCACCCACTTGGAAACATTCACGAGAAAGTATAGCGGAAACGAGAGTACCACTAGCTTGGAAACGCCAGAGGACCTATGCGACCCATCGGCATACCGACCACTATGCATGCTAGATGGCATGGGAAAAAAATTCGAGAGGCTGGTATGCAACCGACTCGAGGCTGAACTGACAGAGCGCCAGAACCTCTCCACTCACCAGTACGGATTCCGGAAGAGGAGCACCATAAACGCCATTGTGATGGTCACCAGACTGGCCAAAGAAGCCATTGCGGGAACGCGATGGGCTGGAGGCACGAAGAAATACTGCCCGGTTTTGCACGCTAGATGTGCGGAATGGCTTCAATTCAGCCAGCTGGAGTAGTATATTCGCGTCTTTGACACGGAGAGACATATCGCAGTACCTTATACGGACGCTGAGGAGTTTATTCACGGACCGCGTACCCATATGGAGGGACGAGGGAGCGAAACTACACACCATCACCGGCGGTGTGCCACAGGGCTCGGTCCTAGGGCCGATCTTGTGGAACATCATGTATGATGACATCCTGCGGGTCGCACTACCAGATGAGTGCACGCTCGTCGGCTTCGCAGACGACATAGCGCTCGTTACAATAGCGAAGGGCGTACAGGAGGCAGAAGCGAACTGCAACGCAGTTATCATGAAGATAGTAGACTGGCTCGAACAGAACAGAATTTCCTTGGACGAAAGAAAAACGGAGGCTGTTCTAATAAGTATCAGGAAGCAAGTAGAGCAGGAATGCGTGAGAGTAGGAAATATCGCAATACGGACCACCCCAGCCCTGAAGTACCTAGGGGTAATGCTAGTCCATATGCTAAGCTTCAAGGCACACCTGGATTACGCCAGCGCGAAAGCAGCCACAGCAACGGCGGCCATATGCAGGATGATGGCCAACACTGGAGGAACACAGCAGCGCAGCAGATAGTTCATCGCCGGGGTGGTCAACTCCATTATCCTATATGGGTCAGCTATGTGTGCACCGGCAATAAGGGTGCCTACTTATAGCAGAGAGAGCAGGAGCGCATACCGACGCTGTGCACTCAGGGTTCCATGCTGCTTCAGGACGGTGTCCGAAGACGCCGCTCTGGTTGTGGCAGGCATGGTCCCACTGGATCTCCTGGCGGATGAGCGCCAAAGCGAAATGGCGGTAGCTAGCGTGCGGCGAGAGGGCAGCATAGCCCTGTGGCAAAGGCGCTGGGACCAAGCCAAAAAGGGGAGCTGGACCAGACGGCTCATCCCCCAGCTTAGTCCAGAAGGAGAGGCCAGATCGACCACTAACGGGCTTGGCTGCTTGAAGCGGTATCTACAGCGGTTCAAGCATGCCGACGACCCCTACTGCATTTACTGCGGACCTGGAGTAGACGAAGAAGAAGACGACGAGCACGTCTTTTTGCATTTTTCCTTCCTCGCCGACTCGCCAAAAAGCTGAATGCTACGGACAGTGCTGGATAGTGGACAAAAACTTTCAGCTGGCACATATCGGCTACTCCTTCACCGTAGCAAGCAGCAGCTGTAAGGGTGCAAGAATTTGCACGATCACGCAAAGCCTTGCATACCCTCAGACTGAGCGCGTGGCAAAGGACGTAGTGCATACTTCGAGGCTTAGCAAGGTAGCACAGGGTCATGGGGGAAAAGTTCACGGTTCCGACCATCCTCCGATCCCCCGCTCAGGCAGTGTTCCGGTCAACGGGACGTCGGGGAGGGGCGGGACGTGGCCAGCGCGGGAGCCCCCTAGTGCAGACCTAAAAAGCAGAAGGGATGGAAGCAGAAAACCCTTTCGTGGGCAGCTCGGCACTGGCAAGATCGCCAAGCCAACCGACGGAAGAGGCGCCTTATGGTGATGCGTCGGCGTTCGGAAAGGGCAGCAAGCTCGTCTGGTCGCCAGTACCCACCTCAACTCCAGCAGCAGGACAGAGCACGGACCAGGACGTTAGGGAGACCCCTAAGAGGACAAGAGACCCTGCCAGCCCGGCAAGCTTGCAGAGAACGACGCCGCACAGTGGCTCGTTTTCTCAAAACACACTAATAGCTTTTGAACCCGGCTAGGTATAAGTTGTAACGAACCATGGATCCCATGGTTCGTCACAAGCAGATGACGCAGCCAACGCTACTCCCAGGTGAAGCGATCAACACCCAGCAAAAATGCAAACTCAGCACACGCCAAAAGACAGGAGACCAGCACAAGGGGCTTACGCAGTAAGTACCTAAAATAATATTAAATAAATAAATATTCCTAACAATATATATTCCCGAATTGCCAACGAAATTCCTTTCCCACGGTACCGGTGCACACCGATCACCTTACCTGGTAACCCTCGATTACCGGGCAAACCCCCCACATGCGCGAGCCAGTCAACAGTCTCCGACTTTCCTTACCGGGAATATTGGACACTGACTGCAGAGCTAATGATTAGGTAACCTTCTGTTACCGATCAGCCCGTCTGCACGCGCAGACTATAATTCGGCAATGTATATTTATGTAAGAACCCTTCCCACATTCTGGAGTAGAAAGAAGATATCTGTAAGACATTCATGGGAAAATGGAAGGCCGCCCGATCTATAAAAGGCACTGCCTTGCATGAAGAAAAAGGCAGTCAATCAGCCATCGCAGGCAGGCAGTACACCAGCCATCGTAGGAAAGAGTCCACCAGCCGTAGCAGTCAGGCAAATAACAAACACGCAAGTCAAACCACCATACGCGTCGTAGAACAATTAAACATAACATGACCGGGTAGAATAATAATACGGAAGAATAAAGAAACCCATTTAAAATTAAAAAAACCAAAAAAAGTTGTGATTTCTATTTCAGTTGCTGGAAAAGTTCCTGGTTTTCCCAATAAAGTCCTCGTGAATTATAAATAAGTTGTAATTCAGGACCCTGGACAGACTGATGCATACCTCAGCCTGAGATAGGACATTACAAGTGGCGCCCGAGCAGGGACTTTAAAGGATTTTTCGTAGAAACTTCAAGAAAACCGAAATCAGGGACTTCGTGGATTAAAGACCCACTGCCATCAAAAAGAAAATTGAATCAATAACAAGTCCGCGCACTTACATAATCCGGGCGCGAAAGCAAACGCGAAAATACGCAGTGCCGATCCTAAAAGTGCCGTGTAACAGTGACTCATTGCCAAAAATCAACAGAAATCAACATGGAACATCACGACGATGAACAACCAGAGGAGGCATACCCTGCGGGACACTTTACCAATCCAGGGGTCAGCACCGGCTGGATCCACAAGCTCCGTCGGGACGAACTAGAAGTCCTCGCCGAAGAATTCGGATTCGGCAGCGAAGGAACGGTCGATGAACGCCGAAAGAAATTTGCGGCACTAGTCGCCGGGCCACTCGTGCAAAAAGCCTGGGTTCGCCTAGGAGAGTTCGAGAGGCACTAGGCCAAACCAGCCTCACGCTCTCGCTCCAAGTCACCACTGCCCACTACTCCTGGACCATCCGACACTCGCCAAATGGATCCTAAGACCGGATTACGAGTCCCCGCAGCCACCGAATACCGCACTCCTGCAGCCCCGTTTCCGAGGCCCCTAGCTACCGAGACCCACCCAGCACCCGTACCGAGGGTCTTGCCAGCGATCGAAGACCCATGGAAGGGCACCACTACAACCACGCTGCACCAATGGCGGAACGCATCCGAAAGTGGGGAATCCAGTTTGACGGCCAAGATGACCCTCTATCATTCATCAAACTGCTCGAAGAACGCGCGCTCTCGTATGGGGTGGACACAAACCATCTGCCGCGGGCCATGGCCGAACTTCTCACAGACCGTGCCAGTCGTTGGTTCCGCACCAGCCGCCTACAAAGTTTCTCATGGGAACATTTCCGACAGGAATTTTTAACGTTCTTCTTGCCACCACGGTATTTTGAACAATTGGAAGACCAGATCCGATCCCGCAAGCAAGTGGCGGGGGAAATGTTCAAAGATTTCCTCATCGAGATCCGTCCACTCATGCACCACGCCAGGTACGACGCAGCCAAGGAACTGAACAGGATCTACGACAACGCGCTGCCAGCATATCAGATGTACGTGCGCCGACACGAACTACAAAGCACAGCTCACACTGTTGGCCACAGTGTTCGAGAGCATCCAAGGGCGGACCATTCCGACCACTTTCGCACCCCCGCGGAACACGCCAAGATACCCAAGGCCAGCTACAGAGCAGAGGAACAGTGACTCGCAGTGGACGCCATTTCGGAGACCACATTGGGAGTCGACAGACACACCAGGGAGACCGCCAGCTCAACCAAACAGTATGACGAATCCCGATATAGCACCTCGCATGATCACGACACCCATCGCCAACCCACGCACCGCCTGTCGCCGGTGTGGTGAAGCCGGGCATGCGGCATACGACTGCCATAGTCCCTCGATCCTATTCTGCTGGGAATGTGGCAAACGCGGCACACGGACCGTCGATTGCTGCCGCCAGAATACGTCGGGAAACGACATGCGTCCCCAACTGACACGGGATCAGCCGGGAACGACGCCTCCTCCAACCCGCGACTAAATAACTCTCTACACGTAAGCAACGGCCGGATAGTGGCGATGGTGACCATAGGAGGACACGCAACGGAAGCCACAATCGACACCGGGGCATCCAGAAGCTTCATTAGCGCAAACCTCGCCCGACAACTAGACAACAACACCAACCTGCAAGATGCATGCGTCCGCATACGCCTGGCCGATGGCTCGGTCAGAGTGATCTCAAAAATCGCAACGAACCCACGTCCACGACCTACAACAACGCTCACGGCACCCAATAAGGCAACGCAGCACTTGACACCCAAATCAATCGCAACGAATACGAAGCAACGGCACATTACGGAGAACACGAATCCAAGGTCAACACCAGCAAACAGCAACCAAGCAATTGGGAAAACGATTCCCACGGTCACTACGGAGCAACCGCGTCCTAGGCCAACAACAGGGAACACGCATTCCAAACAAACCACGAGGATCTCACACACGAGACAAACACACTTGAACCCGGCGCCTGACACAGGAAGCCCAGACCGAAGACAAGCAACAGAGCAAGCACGCACAGAATCCACAACGGAAGAATTGAACACACGGACACCCTCAAAGCCGACCACCAGCATCGAACAAGGACAACGGCAGCCACCATCCGACAGCCCAGCAACTCGGGAAACAGCCACGCTAACCCCACGCTGGTCGGGGCCCAAAATTGAACTGATATCCACAGAGCCCCTCAACGCGGGCCCGGAAACCAGGACGATAACCCCACGATACACCGACAGCCGCCCTGTCGATCCTCGCCAACACAATGGAGTACCTTCCGCGTACTGACATGATTCTTAGCGCCATGCAACAAGCCATGCCTAGAGCCATGTCCGAGATCTCCGTCGCCCACACAAGTCGTTGCTGCGATACCAGAGGCGTCATCGCGACTCATCTGTTCACGTACCAGTCTGGCTGTTGTATAGCACGAGTACTACACCCGGCATACCAAAATATCGTACCCATGGTCGACACCACACCCATCGTCGCCGACATAAGCGACTACCCACGGAGGATCGAAACGCCCAGCGCCTTCGACACAACCCTCTTACCCGAAGACCCCAGCCAGCCATTTGACTCCGAAGCCGCCGATCCAACCGAACCTGAGCCCGAACCAGTCCCGGAGCCGTGGCCGCTGGACTTGGCCCCGCAGACCGTCGCATCCGTCGCCCAAACAAGCCATTGGCCCAACAAAAGAGACATCGTCGAGACCAGCCAGTTCATGCACCAGTCTGGAGACAATACCACCCAAGTGTTCCGCCAGAGCTACAAAACTACTCTACCCACGTCCAACGCCTCCCCGATCATCGCCCACATAAGCGATTACCACCGGAGCATCGATCCGTCAAGCCATCCTTCCGAAAAACCCGAATCAAACCTTTGACCCCGGAGCCACCGAACCCACCGAAGATGACCCAGAACTACCGACGGATCCTTGGCCACCCGATATAGCACCGCAGATTCGAGAATGCCTGGACAAATAACTACCAAAGAAAACTGCCGAGAAAACCATCGTCATATGGGATAATCGACCCACCAAACACCAACTACAAGGCACCCAGAACAGCAAAAAGGCCACGATCACAGCAGCAGTAGAACCTAGACAGCAGGACCCTGGACAGACTGATGCATACCTCAGCCTGAGATTGGACATTACAAAGTCTGAAATTGAATACGTACATATATTGCAATACTTAAATAATTTTTTAAAAGAAAAATTAAAGTATGCGTGTCACTGGAGAGGGCGTAATTAACGGTCAAACTTGAATATTCGTTTTTTACCCTAAAAACCATCATAAAAAAATTAAAAATAAAATTGAACAACATGCAAATATATTTTTGTACAAAAAATCTTAGATTTTAATAAATTTCTACTAGTAAACTACTATTTTAGCGACAGGGTGCTGACGTGGGACACGAGTTTGTGTTCCAGGGCATACAAAGTCTCAATCGGACCCCTGCTCTGGAACGCCATGTACGATGGAGTGCTGAGGCTCCCGATGCCATCCAGCAAAAGCTTGGTAGGCTTCGCGGACGACATTGCGATAGTGGTGGTCGCAAAGGAACTCGCCTTAGTGGCTTAGCAAACTTAGCAGCTCGCGCACATTGTCATCGGCATTGGTTAGATCAGTGTACCTTGAACGAATATATGAGAATATAATACATATATAATACACACTATATAGGCAGACTTCAGCATCTTACCGAACGCACTTGAATATGAGATACGCTGGACATCCAGGTAAAAGTCCGACCACTGTTCGCGGCGTCATGGTGCTGAGGAGACGCTGCAGCATCTTGTCCAGGTCGATGCTGTGGAACTTTATGAGACCTTGTGGATTTTGAGACTTTTGTTAGGCTACATTCGCGCCCACATCGTTGCTGAGGCCGCTTCCTTTGCTGCGACTCATTTCCACCTCCAATTTGTTATTCAATTTGGCCACCGTTCTGGCGGTTGGCCTGAAGCTTGGCGTTGGCCAACTTCAACTCTTCCGGCACCAGCAGGAACTGGGCGACAGCCTTCTGCAATTCTCGGCATAGGAATCGGTCGTTCTGCTTGAACGTGTCGATGCTCTCGAAGATGACCTACTGCAGCTCATCCTGTTCGTTGCGCAGAAGCTCGATCTCCTGAGTCATCTCCAAAAGCTTGCTGTTGTGCTCCTCCGTAATGCCCTTCAACTCGTATTCCAGTTGTCTGTGAATCGAAACGGAGAATGGTTACGGGTATGTCGATTGATTCTCCTCACGGGGAACTCACCGATTGACAAGTTTCTGGGACTGGAAGGCTTCCAGAAGTTCATGGACATTGCTGCCACGCAGGTGCATGCTCTTTGGATCAAAGGAGCGCAGTGCCTGGTTCTGCTGCTGCAGGACCGCCTTCAGCTGGATGCACTCGTCGCGGCGTCTACGAACCTCGTCCTGTAGGGCGGCATGTTGGGCTGCAATGGAAAAGAGGGTGGGACAGGTGGGGAATGGCACGAATAAGTAGAGTAGCTGCGAGGTGCGCCCATCTTGCGATGGCGATTAACATTGAGCTCGTGGATCTCAATGCCTTGTTTAATGCTCGTTCGCAGCTGGTCGTGCTCGTTTCGCAATTTCTCGTTCTCTACCTCGAGCTCGGAGACGCTATGGTATGTGATGTGAGTAAGCAGTGTGTGGCATGCAATAATACATAAATGTAGTAGTCGTTGTAGCATGGCAACATGGATCGATCCAACGATCGATCCTGTGGCCACATTCTTGAGCAGTCATTTGAGGAGAACAATGGCTTTCACACTTACCGGAACGAGTCCTCCGTGGGCTTGTTGCGACTGGTCAGCTTTATGTATTGCTCCTGAAGGATTTTGTGCTTGGACTTCCCCTCCTCCAAGATGGAGCGCAGCTTCACCACCAGACTGCTGCAGTCCACATAGTTATCTGCAAGAAATGAGAGTCCATCAGATCCATCTATCGCTTGCTGGCTTACGGCTATCTCGTACGGCTCTTTCTCTGCAGATCTGCAGTCCGATTAATGTCCAGCGTGTTCTTGGCCGAGGCATAACCAACGTCCTCCTAGTTCTGGCTGGAAGCCTTGCTCGCGGATCCCGTGCGCAGGCTATAGACGCCGTTTTGCTGTAAGCGACTTAGCTCCTCCTTCAGCTGGTAGTTCTAGCTCTCGAAGACCGCCTTGTCCTTGATGGCACGCTGATAGGTTTCGTTCAGTTCGTTGTTGTCGATCTCAGCCAGCATAAGCACGTTCTGATCACGCTCTTTGGACTCCGTGTTCTTGGCCATCTCGATCATTTCGTCCACTTGCCTGCGCAGTTCCGCGCTGGCCAGGCAGTAGGTCTGCTTCTGGCTCAGCTACTCGCCGGATGTTGATTCGAATGTGTTTACATTCGAATCTCTGCTGTTGTGGAGGAATGAGCTGTCGCGGACGATGTCCGGACTGAATGCCATAGTTCACCCAAACAATATCCGCGATCTGATTCAGATTCGGCAATCTGATCATTCTCTGCGTTTTTAGTTTTATCGTATCTTTAAAATAGTTCCTGACACAGATTACACTAGTCAGCACGACATTTAGACTGTGGCTCAAAATGACTTTTTCTTATAGATTTCGGGGCTTAAAAATTTTTAACGAATTATGGTTTAGTTTTTTTTAAAGAATTTTTTAAAATCTGGTATTTTTTTAATGTTTTTTTTTCAGAGGTAGTGTTTCTATTTTTCACATAACTTAAGTATCTTATATCTGCTTGCATATAACTTTGCAGTTCTGAAAAGCTGACAAAGGCAGCTATAAATCCGACCCAGACACTTTGTAGCTGCAGCTTAAGGCCTGGAAGATATTAAGCTTTCAAATAAAAATTTCATCATTTTTTGTGTTGTTTTTTGTTATTTTGAGATTTTGACTTTAACGACTCAGGAAAAGTTGAAAAAAAAATTCTTGGCCAACATTTTTAGTTTTAGATAGACGCATTAAGTAGGCGGTACTGCAAAGTTCTATGCAACCGGATATAAGATACTTAAGTTATGTGAAAAATAGAAGCACTACCTCTGAAAACAACCATGAAAAAACGAGAAGGAACGTGTGAGTCGCTTCTGTGGACGCGACTCTACTTATACCCGTACTCAGTCAGTATATACATTTTTGAGCTTATGATTTTTTAGAATTTTAGAAAAAAAAAATTTTTATTTTACATTTTTTTGCTACATCTGATATCTACATCTACAATGTATATTCTACATCTAACATGTAGATTGTACATGTTTCATTCAGGTTCTACATCTCCTCTGATAGGGGTTGCTCGCGCACTGAACGCGGCATAGTGTGCGAGCGAGAAAGAGATAGGTAACGTCTCTGGCAGGAGGTCGCGGAAGAACAAACAGAAAATTAATTTCTTCATTCTGGCTATAATTAGAATCCGATCTTAATCAGATTCGGCAGTCTGGTAGATATGGGTATTTTGTACGATACTGCGTTTTTAGTTTTATCGTATCTTTAAAATTTTGCCTGCCACAGATTTTCGTCCTTTGTGTAGGCGGAAGGGGGCGGGACGAAATTTTGAAATACACTTGTAGCAGTGTGATATCACATGAGTCTGGAAATCAAATTTGGTTGCCCTAGGCTTTATAGTCTCTGAGATCTAGGCGGACAGACAGACATGGCTATATCGACTCGGCTATTGATGCTGATCAAGAATATATATACTTTATGGGGTCGGAAACGTTTCCTTCTCTGCGTTACACATATTCACTATTACCACAAATCGAATATACCCCTTGACTCTTTTTTGAGTACGGGTATAAAAACGCATCAATATGGGCTGAATTGAAAGGAGTAAAACACACACACACAGAGTACATCCCACCACAAAAGCAAGTGCTGGCTAACAATACAATTTATGGTTTACTTCACTTTGAAAAAGATTATTTCAATTGCAAAGCGATTTGAATGGTAACTGTTTCGGAACAGTTTTCCGTGTGACAGGTAATTCAATTAATTCTAATTCATTGCCTGGGATTTAAATACAAAGCGCCAAAAACCCGTGTTATTCAGAATCGAATTAAATGTGTTTTTGTGGGTTGTTAGTCTTTAGCTGGGAACATAAATACAAATACTTTTGGTAGCACTAACTCTTCGACGGTTCTCATTGAGCTGCTGTTGGGCGTTCCAGAGACGTTGGTGGTGAACGACAAGCGTATGGAACCTCGCCAACGAGGCTATTCAAGCGGTCGAGTACTGGCTAGCGGTCGCAGGACTAGAGCTTGCTGCTCACAAGATGGAGACGATGCTTATATTGAGCCAGAAAGCGGTTGAGACAGCCAGAATGCTGGTCGGGGGGACGACGATCCAGTCCCAGAGGTCGATCAAATACTTGGGTGTCCACATCGACACGAGGCTGTCCTTCAAGGAGCACCTGGAGTATGCCCGCAGGAAGGCCAGCCGGACCGCAGGATCACTTTCTTGGAGGCTGCTGAACACCAGAGGCAGGCACAGGAGCAGGCAACGAGGAAGTTGCTGACGAGCGTCGTGACGTCGCAAATTCTCTAGGCCGCGCCAGTGTGGTTGGGGGCCGCGAAGGTGAGAAGTTATATGCGAGGGCTGGAGGCAACATACAGGCTTTGCGCCATCAGGATCGCGTGCTTGTTCCGGACCATCTCGGACGAAGCAGCGCTGGTCATCGCCGGGCAAATTCCTCTCGGAGAGCTGAGATGGGAGAGGAAGGAGATGTTCGACGCCACGCAGGACAGTGGAGCGGCTCACTCCAAGGCAGAGCTGAAGGCTGCCGCCAGAAGGAGCAGCTTGGAGAGGTGGCAGACAAGGTGGGACAGCTCACATAAAGGGCGCTGGACGCACACCCTCATCCCACGCATAGCGTGCTGGGTTGAGCGGAAGCACGGGCTGGTAGATTTTTACCTCACCCAGGCTCTAAGTGGGCATGGCTGCTTCCGCAGCCACCTCAAGAAAATTCTAATTCTCTGGTGCCCAGATTGCGGCATTGGCATAGTGGAGGACGCACAGCACCTCTTCGAGTGCCATCGATTCAGCTACGAGCGGCAGGAGCTGGAATCCGTCGCAGGGTCCAGGTTAAGCGTGGAAACTCTGGTGCCGCCCCAGCCCCCCTTTCCTACCCATTATTGTTACTATTAATTTTTACACATTTTATTGACAATAAAAAGAAAAAACCAAGTGCATAAACCCTGTTGACCAGTGTAAATTCGTCGTAAATTCGCACAGAAGAAACGGAACATCTTCGCTGTCGCATTTCTCACCGCATTCGCTGTGTACGTGTCGTTGCCCTTCTAACCGCACCCGACAGCAGCCGCTGCCAGCTTCTGTCACTCTCTACGTCTGCTGTTCTTCGTCCATCCTTCTAGCTCTCTTTGCCACTGCCATCGACGCTGCGTACATAGCTCAGCCAACACTTGAGCCACTGCCGCTGTCTAACGCTGTACCTAACGCTCATTGCCGCCCACGCTATTCCAGTTCTTTGAGGAGTTTGATCAGAATCGTAAGCCAAACTTTGTCTCTGTTCGCCGTTTACGCGTTCGTAAGTTCGCCGCCGTCCGCCGTGGCAGCACAGCCAGCCTTTGTCGGCCCGCTGCTCTTCGTCGTTTCAGTTTTGCCGTTGCAGCGCTGTCTGTACCTACTGAAGTACAATCATGTCAATCTCATTGAAAGACCTCAAAGATCAGAGGGCAAAAATCAAACGCAACATTTTCCACATTAAAACGATGGCCGACAGAAAACAGGAGCAAAGGTTAAAAAATCAGCTGCAGAATTCCAATAGGCGGGAACATATAATTTCCTGTTGCACAATCTCCGTTGTCGTCCGTTGGTCCCGCATTTAATTTAAAATAGTAAATAGAAATTATCCCTGACCCTTAGCAAAAGTTCCTAATCAACAGTAACAGTACGTTAAGTAATTGTACTTAATTGTCTGTGATAATTGTTTCCCATAAACGTACATAATCAGGCAAAAAAAAGTTTGTGCATTCTGGAGTCATACTTTAGGCAGGCGTTGACTGTGCAATCTAGCTTCGAAACCATGGACCCTGACGATAATGTGCGCGCAGATCTCAAAAACAGCTATGTGATCAGCTATGTGCTGGCAATCAAACATCTTCTTGGCGAGAATTGGAACATTACAATTCATGATGCTGTACCAATTTCATCGACTTCGTCAAGGCCTCACCGATTAGGGATCAACCTTCGATGGGTGGCATACGGAATACAAAAACTTCATCGCATCGTTCATACAGCTTATCGGTCGAGAGAACTTGTCAAACATTGAGAAATTTAATAATTTACTTGATTTTTTAAAGCATTTTCAGTTACAAGTTAAAAAATGTTCCAAAGCCTTGGATAAATCTTAAATCATAAATCTTCCAATTGCAGTCAGCTAGTCTTTCAAATCCTCAGCAATTACGTAGTTTAATTGATTTCGCTGCGGCATTGTTCAGCTACCTTTCATCCCTAGGTTGTGCAACGCAAATTTCAGAATCAATGATGACCTACATAGCTATAGACATGTGTGACCAACAAAC